TCTGGGCATTGAAGTCCACAAGTTTTAAACTTGCCAAGTTCGAAGACTCTTGGGTTAGACAGTATAGGAAGCAGGATGAGACTTTTAGGAAGATCTTGTGTTTTCCTGTTAACACTTGAAATACAGTCTATACCAGGTTGTATTTCAGCTCTGCTGGCTGGAGAATTCTGGGAGTTGAAGTCCACAAGTTTTAAAGTTGTCAAGTTTGGGGACCCCTGTGCTAGAAGGAAGCAGGGTTTGCAGAGAGGAGGAAGAGGCGGGGGGACTTAAACTCCAGCCTTGGGCATGAAATCCAGCACGATTATTGAGATCAGTCACTGCCCAGGGCAGAAAATCCGGGCAGTTCAAATGAAGATAAAGATTTATTGCAAGCTCAAGCTCTCTCTACAAGAATCTGAACTCGTAACGGTCAAAGCAGACTGGTGGTCCATACGAGTTAACGGAACTCAAGGTGGGCCAGACTTGGGTCTCTTGTGGGGGCGAAGGGACTCGAGACTGATGATGTGTTTGCCCCCCCCCGCCCCTTCGACTCAGCCTAGTCCTCTCCTACAGTCACAGGAGCAAAGTGGCATTCCTATAGGCCAGTGGTGGCTAACCTTTTTGGGCTCCTATGCCGAAAATCGTTGCATGCTTGCACACTCGTGCTTGCGTGCCAGCACCCAGAAGGCAATGAGCCCCCCGCACGCCCTCTATGCATGCGTTCGCAATCCCCACCCCCTGCCGCCCCCTTACCTGCACTATACAGCTGATTTTGGGCTGGTTTTGAGGCCTTTTTCGGCCTCCCAGAGAATTGAGGAAGGCTTCTGCAGGCTTTGCAGGCCGAAAACTAGCCCCGTTTCATCACTTCTGGTATTTTTGGGAAAATAGGAAGTGACGAAACGGGGCTGGTTTTCGGCCTGCAGAAGCCTGCAGAAGCCTTCCTCAAGCCTTTGGGAGGCCGAAAAAGGCCTCAAACCAACCAAAAAACAGCTGGGAGGCGCGGACATGCGCAGTGAGCTAAGTTTGACTGCAGCTTGTGTGCTGGCACAAATTGGATTCTCAGCCCCTCCCTATGTGGATACTTCCAGCCCCCCCCCAAGCGTGGCTCCCCAGCAGTTTCTCAGCCCCTGACTTGGTTTCCCTGCCTGTTTGCAGAACAGCTCGCCAGCCTGACCCCCAAGGACTGCCCTCACCTGCTCCTCCAAGCCATCTCTGGCCCCATGGCGGCCGCGACCGCTTCTACCCTCACGAACCCCATGGACGTCATCCGGGCGCGTGTGCAGGTAAGGGCCTCTTGAGCCAGCAGCTCCTATGGGCCCCACGGGGAGGTCTGGAGCCTGTCCTGCCCCCTCTGACTGGGGGAGGGGGAGGCGGTTCCTCCTATGGGCAAAGTGGGCTTGTGGTCCTGGTGGTCGGAAGCCACATTTGGCAGGTGGGGGAGGGGCTCCCTGTCAACCTGACACCTTCCCTCCAACCTGCCTACCTGGAGATGGTCAGACTTCCAGAATTGTGCATCTGGGAATCCGCCCGTCTTCAAGCGGAGAAGCTTGACAAGCACTGGCCACCAGTCATATCCAGGTGGTCCTCGGCTTACGACCACAATTGAGCCCAAAGTTCCCATTGCTAAAGCGAGACCGTCGTTCAGTGAGTTCGGCCCCGTTTTACCTCCTTTTCTTGCCGCAAGTTCTTAAGTGAGCCTCGGTGTTTGTTAAGCAAACCCCGCCGCTCCATGGATTGTCAGGAGGTCACAAAGGGGTAGCTGGTTGCCAAGCGCCCAAGTTTCGTTCCCGTGACCACAGGGGAGGCTGCGATGGTCACATGCGTGTGAAAAACAGTCCTGGGCCACTTTTCCCCGTGGTGTCTGTAACTTGGAAGGGTCGTTAAGTGCAGGACTGTCCCTCTGCTCCTCAAGCGTGGCGCCCTGTCCTTTCTCCCCTCCAGGTGGGGGGCAAAAGCTCCATCACCCTGACCTTCAAGCAGCTGATCGCAGAGGAGGGTCCCTGGGGGCTCACCAAGGGCCTTTCCGCTCGCATCATCTCGGCCACCCCCTCCACCATCGTCATCGTGGTGGGCTACGAGACCCTGAAGAAGCTCAGCTTGCGTCCGGAGCTGGTGGACTCCCGGCACTGGTAGGCGGCCGGGACGAGAGACCAAGGGGCGTGGCGGGGCCACCCCTGCCGCCCATTCGGCTCCCAAACCCCCACCGTCCTCACTCGGCGTTAGCCTGGCCCCCGCCAGGGGATCACCACCTGGCCCGGAAAAAACGGGGTAGGACTTCCTGGCATTGTCTGCTTTGGGCCCCTTTTTAAATTTTCTTTTTTTTTTTAAAGAAAAAAGAAAGGTGTGGTTGAACCCCAGGGAGGGTTTGGATTTTTTGGGGAGGGGTATTTTTGCCAGAATTTCTGCATCATTGGGAAGACTCACTTTTCCTCACGCCCTTCTGCTGCTTGGAAAGGACCCATCGGGCACAGCCACACAAAATACGCACCCCCCGCCTTGGAAAGCGGTCAAACGGTCCAGAAAATCCTGATGCTCCTGAAAAGGGTCTCTCTCTTTTTTCTTTTTTTTACCGAATATTTGGGGAGGAGGGGATGCACCGAACCCCAGGAGTTATTTTTATAGCCTTTCTTTCCAAACTTGATGTGATCTGTACATAGATCCCTTCTTATTTTGTATAAACCCGGAAGCCGCCTTTCTGATCTTCTTGTCTCCGAAGAGTTAGGGGCTTTTGTTTATATGTTTCGAATTGTGTCAAACGGTGATTGAAGCAGGGTCTCCTCCTTGTCTGTACAGTCGTGGTGCCCAATTGCGTTTGTGTGTGTGTGTGTGTGTGTGTGTGTCTCCTGGGCAGGGGGATTAAAACCCACCCAGGGAGAGGGGTGCACTTTATTCTCCAGGGTTTCACCCACCTGAGCGTAGACTAAAAATAATAACAACAACCAGATCCCTCTTGTATTAGTCTCCTCCTCCTACTCACCCTGTGCACACAGAGAAAGGTGATGGTTGTTTATTTGGGGGTGGGGGTCTTCATTTGAAAGGCAAGGCTGAAAAAATGTCTAGGATAATGATAATTTTTGATCTTCGTATAAGTGGGACGGTTTGAATCACTGAATGAATATTTCATTAACACGTAGGACGGGGTAGGGAAGGAAGGGATCCGTTTTCATTTGGAAGGGAAGTCCTTGGAAGGCTAATTCTGATGCAAGAGCTGGTTCTCCCTTGGACTAAGCCGGCTGGGGGTCCTAAATCCAGCCTAAAACCGTGCAGCTGATGGCAAAGCAGCCCCCACAAGCAGGCAGACTTTTCCCAGGCTCAGCACCATCGATCGACTCCGTCCTGCCCGCCTCGCCACCATTTTTCTACTGCCACTCTGGTGCTGATTTGGGGCATTCTTCCCTGAGCTGCTCTTCGCCCTGCATGTGGGTACCAAAACCTTAGCAGGCAGAAAGAGGCCGCAGTTGCTGGGCTGTAAGTAAACTCACGTGCTTTAAAATTAAAAGTATTTGGCGGGGACGGGGTGGGTAGGAGGGATTAGAAGCCATGCCAGTGTGAGGGGTTATTCTCTGCCCTTTGGGGGAGGCTTTCCTTCAAACAAGCAGCTTTTAATGTCAAATGAAGTTTATTTCTGCCCTAATCATGGGCTGCAAAGAGACCTCTAAACCAGGGCGGTCCCCAAACTTGGCAACTTTAAGACTTGTTGGACTTCAACTCCCAGATTTCTGGCAGTTGAAGTCCACAAGTCTTAAAAGTTGCCAAGTTTGGAGGCCTCTGTTCTAAACCCTTAAATGCTGCCCGGGGAACGCTGGGAGTTGAAGTCTGCATATTTTAAAGTTGCCCAGGTTGAAACGGTCCTTCTCAGTCAGGGGGTCTGCAGACTTGGCGGACTTCAACTCCCAGAATTCCTCAGCTGTTCTAGTTGCCAAGAGACGGTTGGCAATTTCTGTAGGGCTATGAATTTGGGGGTTGGTGGGGAAAACGTTCCCATCTCACGGGTTCAAAATCAGCCCTCGGTGGAAAGAAGCCTTGGCCTGCACAATTTTTAGTCCTTCCTAGCTTTGCCCAGCTTAGTTTCTTTTGGGTGTCCTAAGATTTCTCGGTGTTAAGTTTATTTTCTCCAGATGTGCCACGTCTGCGCCTTGAATGCGTGCTTCCAGCTCAGCCTCGACGAAGGTATCCGGGGTTGCTGAAGGCCTTCGGCGGAAGTGGGCTTGTTGGGGTTCTGGGTGGCCAGAGGAGAGACCTCTTCCCTCTCGACAGAGAACCTCGCAACTCTACCACAAGTGCAGTTGTGCCATAGCCAAGGAAAAGAGGGTAAAATTGGTTGAATGCAAAATAAATCCCCCCAATTTTGCTGAAAATACCAACATTGTGAGGATGGGCTACCCCTAGTGTTGATGCACAAGGCTCTCGGCAAAACAAAATGGCCGGTGAGAACTGGGGCTGGAGGGGGACGGGGTTAGTTGCCTGCCGCCCCCTCCTCTTGCAGCCAAATTGTAAAAAGTGTTTTGTCACCTCAGCAAGAGAAATGGCAGAGCATCACCCCGTCCTGCCTCCTGGTGAAATTGTCTGTAGGGGATGTGCTTTTTCCTGGTGAGCTTACTGGACATTTAGCATTATTCCAAGCATCACTACTGAACTGAGATTTCATTCCATTCTTTCGCCAGTTATTTCTCAGGCATGGCAAGTTTCGATTTCAGCTCCCAGGCAGAGACTGGAGAAAGCATAGCTGGCTGGGGATCCTGGAGTTGAAGTCCGCCCAGCTCAAACTTGCCAAGTTTGAGAAACACTGTTTGATAAATCTTTCTTTTATGTAATGGTACTCTGAATGTTTCTGATTCAAATTATCAAGAATCTGTAGGAAGTACTGCTGTGAACTGTTCTCAGGAAGCCGAAGGGCTCCCCAAACTTGGCAACTTTAAAACTTGTGGACTTCAACTCCCAGAATTTCCCAGCTGGCTACGCAGGCTGGGGAATTCTGGGAGTTGAAGTCCACAAGTCTTAAAGTTGCCAAGTTTGGAGACTCCTAACCTAAACAATGCCACATAGACTTTTTTTGGGCGGGGGGGGGGGGGGGAATAAGGCTGAGAGGAAACCACATAGAGCAACCTAAAATAAGGGTTATTTTATTGTCCAGCTGACAATTTTGAGGGTCTCTAATACTGGTGCCTGCCTTTTCAATATGGAGTTTGAATGTATTGGGTACAGTACATTAAAGCTGGTTTCAATTTTGCACTGTAAAATGTCTTTAAAAGTATGATTAAAAGTTTTTTTAATTATTTATTTGGTGGAGGGGTTTCGTTTGTGCGGTTAAGGTGAAGAGTAGGCATTGTCCTAGGTCGGATGTCCCCAGGACCACCTGAGATGGTGAGACTCACAGACACCATTCACAAAATGGTATCAGGCATTCAGGATAATCAATGGACGGATTTTAAGAAAAGAAAAAGAATTGCTTTACTATTTGTAACCTACCTGGAAAGAAACCAGAGCAGTTGATTCCAAAACTACAGACACAAATAATTTAAAAGTAGATTTTCTTGCACACACAGCTTTCATCCTTTTGTCTAAAGGAGGAAATCCTTTTGCTTATCAAAAAGGAAATGTGTGGGTATTTTTAATGGGATTTTATTATCTGATGGATTTTTAACTTTTGTTTAATGAATAAAATGCTCAGGTGTGACATGTGGATGAGTCTCAACCCTCATATACTTTATTATTCAAGAGAATTCCTGAATAGAATTAGCAGTTTATCGTATTATGTGCTCAACACACCCTGCTTCTCGCTCACAATCACTATTTACAAAACACAATGATCCCTCTTGCACATTCTGTGGTGGCAATTTCTCCTCCCGTTGATGGAATTCATGTTGCTTCCAATGTTTTAATCCTAAACGATACAGATGTCCTGTTTCAAATTATTGGCCTTTAAATCCATTCATTTTAAGCCATTTTCTTGCCGCTGTTGTTTTTCGCCCGACAGTATAGAAGGGAAAGCACCTTTGAAATGATTGTTGAGTTCTCGGCAACAAGGCCAAACCCAGACTGGCCACCTCCATGTCTTGCATTCCCCTATCCATCATCCCCGGCCATAAGCAGCGATTGTGCTGCTGTGAGTGATTAAGATAACCTTTATTGTCATTTTTTTTTACCGTGAGCACACTGGCACACATTAAAAACGAAATTTGGCTGCCTGCTCTCAAAAGAAAGCATACATAACGCTGTCCATTTTGAATGCATGGCGGAACTTCACAAGGTTGATACCATATCGAACAAAACTGACTGAATCTAGACGTTCAGCTTTGGAAGATCATGAAGCCAACTCCTAGAAGGTAACAAGGAAAGCAATTAATATAGAGGATGGGTGGCATCCTGGACAACACTGCGGACCTGCTCAAGTATCGCTTATATGCCATGCCCTGGATCGAAGGAAGTGAATTACCAATGATCTTTGCTGCTGTCCTCGCCACTCCCTGCACAGCCTCCTTGTCCCAAGCCCGTGATGGCGAACCTATGGCACATGTGTGCCGGCACTCGAGCTGCACATGTTACCTCACTGCGCATGTGCGCACCTCACAGCTGATTTTCGGTGGGTTTGAGGCCTTTTTCAGCCTCCCAAAGGCTTGAGGAAGGCTTCTGCAGGTTTTGCAGGCCAAAAACTAGCCCCGTTTCATCACTTCCAGTTTTTCAGAAAATACCGGAAATGACGAAACGGGGTGAGTTTTTGGCCTGCAGAAGCCTTCCTCAAGCCTTTGGGAGGCCAAAAGGCCTCAACCCCACCGAAAATCAGCTGTGAGGTGCAGTGCAGGTAAGGGGGCAGCGGTGGGTGGGTGGGGATTGTGTGCTTGCATAGGGGGGACACGCATTGCCTTGATGCTGGCACATGAGCGCGAGTGTGCAAGTGCATGCACAGTTTTTGGTACAGGAGCCCAAAAAGGTTAGCCACCACTATCCTAGGCAGTAGTGCTTCCAACCCATAGAACAGGATGCTCCCCCTATAGAAAATGGGAAGGACAGTCTCACTGTTGAGTGACCAAGCTATTTATCCAGAACATCTGGAGAACAAGATGTTCTCGTATCAGCAACAACTACTTCCACACACATAGCAGTTCTGAGCATTTGTTATAGGAGGAAAACTTGATGTGGAAAATATTAAGGTAATCTCTATTCCAGATCAGATATTATCCAAATAGTATCAGGACCCCCAATAGAAAAAAATGGAAGTTTTGAGTTGAATTGAATACTTTATTTAGCTAAATGGGATGAGACACGCGAGGAATTTGTCTCTAGTACAAAAGCACTCGATATACACGCAAAGCAAGAGAAAGAAGAATATATATAAAAAGGGAAGTAAAGAAGATAGTGCAATGATCAGCAATAAGAGTACAGCCCCTTGTTTATGCAACCCTCTTGTTAATAAATGGGAAATCCTGAGTGTGGCGGGGCATTGCATTAACTCCCAGCTGGCGAGCATATGGGCATGGCATGTTGGCTTGTCAGGTAACCTAGTTCGTAGCAGTTTCCAAATCATGGCCGCTGGAAGGCGGCGGACTTCAATTCCCACAATTCCTCAGCGGCCAAATGCGGCGCCGTTTCTACTTTAAAAGCGAGGGGCGGGGCTGATCGTTGCACGCGGGCCAGCCGGGCCGGCGGACACCAATCAGGGGGCCGCGTGGCCGCGACTGGGCGGGGCGTTGCCAGGGTTTGGATCCGTTGCTTTTGGCGGGAAGAAGATGGCGGCGGCGGCGGCGCCGAAGGAGGAAGAAAGCGGCGCTCCTGCCGGGGCCCCTCAGGATAAAATGGGCCGCGAGCAGATCCTGGACTACACGATCAATCAGTTCCTGCAGGCGCTGGACGCTGGAGGGTGAGAGGGCCGGGGCATGATGGGTTTGGAGTCGGCGGTTGGGAAACTTTGAGGACCTGTGGACTACAACAGCTTTGCTGGCTGAGGAATTCTGGGAGTTGTAGTTCACAGGTCCTCAAGTTGCCATAGTCCCCCACCCCCTGCTCTAAAGGAATGACGTAACTAGTGGGATTATTTCCCCCCC